CATTTGTCTTCAACTTATGAAGTTATTGCTTTGTGTTCTAAGCTAAGTTTAGAAATTGTTTATATCTAGTATTATGTCTAGGCTTCTGTATAAGGAGAGTTTTAAGATTAGAAATCGGGTTTAGTTACCATTCTATAAATTTACCTGTTAATATCCATCAGTGGTCATTCTAACCGTAGCATTATATCACTAACTTCTGTCTTGGTGTCCTGAACAAGAAGCTGTAGACTTAATATTTGGCAATTTCGTCTCAGCGGGAAGGAGATGTAGGCAGTTTGATACAAGTCTCTAAAGCAGGCTATGGCAAGTTAACTGGGTAGTCTTTAATGCGGTCTGTTTTCTTATAAGTGTAGTTTAAAGTCTCATGAATTCTCAGCAACATTCAGTATTATTTTAGTTAATTTAATATGCACGATTCATTCATATGACACATTATATTGCGATATCTGTTTTGGGAACCTATTCATAGATCTCGGTTGCTTTTTCGCGTGTAAAATCTGCAACATGACTGAATGTTAACAAAAACTTGAGTGTACTGAGCACTGGTTAACAATTTCATATTTAGAAAACAAAAGAAGTGAGCACACAAGTAATTACTTTTCAAATAGACCTAAATGAAAGAAACATTTATCTTCACTCAGTACTTTTGTCTTCCAAATGTCTAAATGTGAACTTTTGATACAGTGGAATTTCATATTTACTAGCTATGAAATGTAGTCACTGAATTGGTTGATCTCTACTGTGTAGCCTATATGCACTTGGCGCATAATGCAAGGGAGAGAAACAAAATAAGTAGAAAATTAGGCAGAAGGACAGAAAGGGATAACGATAAGGAGCTCTGGAAACGAACTAACATGTGGGGGCTGAATGGGAAAGTGCGACGTGGACATCCAACATTGACATGGAGGAGATCTTGTAAGGAGGAAGTGAGAGCTTATTGGCAATCGTGGAGTCAGATGAAGAGGGATACAAAGAGCAAGATAAAACGGTGATGTGCTGCTGAAGCCTTATATTCTCACACGAAACCCTAGTAAATAAGTTAGAATGGCTAAGCCGCATTTCGAAACTAGAAATTTTGATAAATAGCAATGAAGTGACTATATATTGAATATCTTTTACTCTTAATTCTGTTTTGCATACTATGTTTACTGTGGTGGGATTAAGTTTAACAGTCTACAAATCAAGCTACTGTTGGAAAATACTGGGTTTCAAATTATTCTACCACAAAACATTAGGTGATGACCGGATAATACGTCAGATGCTGTGGTCAAAAGTATATTTCGGTGGCTTAGAATAACACACACCTTTACTTTCTTTCAGTCCTACTGACCTGGTAATAATTTTTCCAATTCACTGTTGTTATTTTCATTTCCACTTATTAAACTTCACTTCACTGAAGTCAGACAACATAAACCATTAAGTCGTGATTTCTTTTCTTTTTGACAGTATAATTTCATTGCTGAAAAAAGCTTGCAGAGACACAAAGTATCATGTTTTAAAAACTTAACATCATGCCAACATGATATGTTGATGACAGCTGTACATCCATCCTACTTAAAAAAAAGAAATATGAAAAAAAGTATGCCATCAGTCAACAAAGTACTATAACATTAGCAACATAACGCCAACAATTTAACAGTAGGGTAATTGATTTTTAGGCTTCCTGATTTTACGCTCTAAGTACGTTTTATGCACGACAAATCATGAAAACTAAAGGTAAACTATTGTTGCAAAAGGAAGAATATATTACCATGGATTTAGACAATAAAGACTGACACCAGTGTAACGAAATAATTGTCTGAAAAATTCCGCCTGAACCATCTATTTACAACATTGATACTTGTTTGGATGTCAGAGCCAACTTTGTAATTATTATTCAAAGTCAATCTGAACGAAGAATATTCTTCTCAATAATTTCTCCTCTTCAGGTTCTTACAATTATAAAATATAATATTTACTGTCGTTACAATAATGGCCAGTTATGCGGTGGATACATTTTTAACGTAGAATAACAGATTAGTTATGGGGTGTCAAAATAAATAGTCGTATTTGTGTGACAAACGTGCTAGGCTGAAATCGATTACAAAATATTGTAAAATGGGAGACAATGGTGGTGATTATTATAAATAATAGATTTGTAGAGTGTGGGGTAAGAAAATTGACAAGTCAGTTCAAGGTTATAAAAGGTGTCAGGTGAGTGGCTAGTACAAAGTGGTCTGTATTAAACAGGAGATAGTAAGACTGCAATGAGAGGTTCATAATGAAATAACGAATGTGTGAAATGAAACAGGTGGAGGCATATATTGAGAAAAGAGATAATATCACTAATAATAAGTCCGGATAGTATAAATGGAAAATTCGATATTATTGAGAGAATGTTTGCATGAAGGGCATAAATTATGACGAATAATAATAATTATTATAATAAAAAGCAAAGGAAAAAATCCAAGAGGGTTAAGGGGAAGAAGCACTCTTGGTGATGAGAAGAATCATCACTCCAAGTTTGGCCACGGTAGGAACAGCGTCTGGACGTGTTCTTTTTGGATACAAAGTTCCGGTTTAGTCGATCTTATTGCAACAGCTTCAGCTATGTGTAGGAGACGTAAGCGAACTGTATGTGATAACGACTTCGGAATTCGGTATATAACCCTGAAAGCTGTGTTGACATCGATGCGATGTCCAGTGTCGACCAAGTGTGACAGGATCGAGCTTTTTATGCACTTAATTTCCCCCCTGCTGAATCAAGCTGGTAAATGTTCTCGAACCCATAAACGAACCTGCCTAATCGTGCGCCCTATATAACTTGAACCATTTCAACTGTTCCTGTGGTTCTGTTCTCCTGTTTAATACAGACCACTTTGTACTAGCCACTCACCTGACACCTTTTATAACCTTGAACTGACTTGTCAATTTTCCTACCCCACACTCTACAAATCTATTATGACTGATCACCACCATTGTCTCCCGTTTTACAGTATTTTTCAATCGATTTCAGCCTAACACGTTTGTCACACAAATACGACTATTTATTTTGACACCCCATAACTAATCTGTTATTCTATGTTAAAAATGTATCCGCCGCATAACTGGCCATTATTGTAACGACAATAAATATTATATTTTGTAATTGTAAGAACCTGAAGAGAAATTATTGAAAAGAATATTCTTCGTTCAGATTGACTTTTAATTCATGATATGGGAATATTTCACATTATTAAATCTTAATTATTATTCGTTTTCCTCCTAGACTGTATATCATTATTTTGACATTTGCATATCAGATTTTGACTTGATCCTTATCATTTGTCTTTGTCACTCTTTAGTCTCTGTTTTGCTCTTCTTTGTATTTGTTTGATACAGTGATAACGAGCTGTTTTATGATGTGATTTTGTTTGAGTGAACCAAGGTTATTTTGCCCATGGACTGTGGCAAGTGTTGGTGGTTGATTCTTGTGGACAAAGTTTTTATCCCATCTTGCTGGGAATACTCTAATTGATTCTCAGATATTTCTTACGGTTGATTTTGGTTAACTTATTCTGTTCTACAATACTTGTTTTGTACTTGGAATTTTCTCCTGATTGTAAAGCTGCCTAAGGACACTGTTGCGGTAATTTTGAGTTTTTATGTTTTCATAATTTCATTTTCATTTCACTTTAGATTTTATCGCAAATAACTGTCTTTGTGCTGTCATTAGTGCACTTCGGGACCGTGTAAAACTGAAGGAAGGAAGGAAGACTGCTTTCCAGCATTCAGACGAAAACACTTTGGTTCAGGTCGTTACTACTTAGGTTAGGTGAGCTGAGGAATACTGATTATGAATGACATTGTAAAAAGTCAGTGTGATATCACAGCTTGGAGAATACCAAACAGTTTCCACTTAGTATGGTTTATTACCGCGCTACTGTACATCCGACAAACGAAGAAATCCAATCACATTCCCTCATTAGTGTTTGAAATAAGTACTTGAATCGAATATTATAGTATTTATCCCATACTCAGGTATAAATATATTTTTAAGCATAATATTAAATGTGACCTACTGGATTTTACAGTGTTTAAAAAAATAAAATAATTGAACAAAGAATATCCTTTTCGATATTTTCCTCTTCTGGCTCTACAATTATATAAATGCTTATATACATAGAATATTCTAGGATAGTAGTCACTAACAATATTGTATGTATATAAGCATATATATAATTGCAGAGCCAGAAGAGGAAATTATCGAAAAGGATATTCTTTTCTCAATTATTTTGTTTTTTATAGATGTCTGAATGAATATTTTAGCAAAATGGTTATTTCTTTATTTTGAAATCCAGCCTAATCATAATAGTATTTATATTTCTAGGCTAAAATGGGTTTATCTCAAAGGTGATGCAGAAGACAGACTTTGGTTAGTTAATTAAGATGCGAAGTTTGACAGATTAGTTACCCATGGATATTATTATTATTGTATTGTCTAAATGAACATAGAGGCTCAAGTATACACTAGTCAAACGAAATTTGACAGCCTTCTATAGAATTTCAAACTACTAGTCAAATGTTTAATTCAATCTGTGAAAGAGTTGAGATCAAAGATTGTCAGAGGTAATATGGTGACTGTTCGACCGCTGACACGAAGAAGCACGTAATCCATATACTTGTACCTCTTAGAACTAATCCTAGTCTTATCCGTTTACAGTTTCATTTCAATTCGTCTGAAGACATTTAATAACATGGGATTTATATTGTTCCTTAATGTTCTTATCTGAAGAGTTGAAAAGGAGAGAGATGTCTTATGGTACCTAAGTTTGTTTGCTTCCATCCCAAACATTTTCTCATAGAGTCTTTAAGTAAGTAAGTAAGCTACATCATTCTTAATATAATCATTAATCATAGTGAAGAAAGTGTGTTATCTCTGTCGCATAAAGCTCAACACCTAAGTTATTTTAATGTATGTTTCATTGTACACTGACATCAATTTAAAAAATAACCCATATGTATGCATAAATAATGCTTACCTAATCAATAATTAGTTTTGATATTTATCCATGAATATCTGAGAGAAAGAAATCCGACAATTTGTTGGCTTACTGACAGAGTAAAAAGTTCACAAATTCCACTGTGTTATATATTCAGTCGCTTCATTTTTTGAAGATTAAATGATTTGCGGTTTTTATTTTATCTTATCCTCATTATCAAATCATGGATATTCGATTCAACAGAGTTGTGTTTATTCTTAAATATGAATACATGAAATGACAATAAACCGAAAAGAGAAATGAACAGGTAGGCCGGTCTATAGTGTCACCAATAAATGTCAAGTTTATTACATATATATCCCTGATATCTGCATTGATTATTAAGTTAGCGAAATTGCTAATGTGAAATCTCACATTCTCCCACTTTCTAGCAAAAGTCTCCCATCCCATATATATATATATATATATATATATATATATATATATATATATATATATAATGACTATTTTTATGACCGTTCGTTTGTGCACAAATGTGTTCATAGCCTTTTTGCAAGAATACGAGTGTCTGTGCATTTGTCCTTTGGCTATCCTCTACCCTATTCATCAGAATATTTCTTTTGATTGGCAAACAAAAATATTTCTTTAGATTGTATTAACTAAGTAAGCTAGTACACATATTACATTTTAATATGCTTTTCACCATGACATCAACATTTGAACTAGAGACATAGTTTTGAAATGAGGATAAAGAATATTGTCTCATGGGTATACAAGTCTCCTACTGTTTCAAACATGTTGTTGGTTATGTTCAAATTTCATTGATCTCAAGGTTGAATATGTCACGAACGTGTATCATTTCAAAAATTATTAAAATTTCGGGGAATTTATTAGTTCTGTAATTAGTTCAGTGGTTGTTAATAGTTCGAACCCTTAGAAGTTCGAGATATCTAGTTTAGTACTGTCATAGTATTGAAATAGGTATATTACAATATGGTTATGGAGTAGTGATCAGGGACTTAGTTTTAATCAAGTGTTTTACTCCCTTCAACAATATGATCCTTGCCGTTTCCTGTTCGTATTCTTTTCTTGCCTTTCCCAGGATGTTAATCTGTGTACATTGATTTGAATAGCAGTTGTTTGAAAATTAGTCCTCCTTAATTCAATACGAATTAATTTATATTTTGAGTGTCAGTACTACAAAATAAAAGATGAAATTATCACGACAAGGCGTATACAAAACAAAGAAAGTTGAAAACTGAAATTAACCCTGTAACATCTATACTTAATTCGTTTTAGAGTAATCGAACTAAAACTGTTCACACTGCACCTGAAATGAGGTTAAAGTAGCCTAATAAAGCAACAGTAACCTTTCAAGTGATAATTACTTGTTAAGAAGAGATTATCTCATTTCTCGGTAGATTAACTGAGATATTGTTATGTACTTATTCGACTTTCACTCAACTTTGAGAATTAGATAGCGCTGATTCTATGGAATTCTTCGGTGATGATATCCGTTTAAATTTTTTACGTAGATCTCTGGTACCGATAGTTCAAAAGCTGCTATTAACTGCCACCAACGTATGTAGGAACTAGTTTAAGTCACTGTCAATACTATTCTACAGATCGAAAACAACTGCAATTCAGATTGTTTCTGTAAGTCGGCCATTAGCTTTTTATTAACCTTACTGATATATTTTCTACATTGTGAAGATTTTTATGTCCCAGCTAGGTTGTACTTTTATGAAAGTAGCTTCAATTAGTCATTGAGATGGTTTATTACAGGGGCTGTTGCACAGTTCTGTGATATTCTGTTTATCTGAACTTCTGCAAATTGAATATGTATTGATGAAACGATATTCAAAAGTATGACAGAGTTATGTTATTTTACAAGCTACCAGCTCTGCTATTTGCCGACTGTTGTATCATTTACAGTTGTCAGCTTGGAATTCAGTTCATCTGAATTATTTCTGAATTTTTTGTAGGACTTAGCGAGACAATATTTAAATGAGACAACGGAAAAAGCAACAATCCACTCCTGATTAGTCATCCTACTTGCCTTTCTTGAGAACTGTTATGCTGAATTTCAGTTAAAGATTTTAAAATACCAAAAGATATTGGAATTAAAATTATGCGGGTATTTCAATCGATCTGGCGAATAAAGGAATGAATCGAACAAAACAATATGAAATAGAGAATATGAATTATGACAGATTCTATATTGCTTAATAAAGGGTGAAATTAACTAACGTAAACAGTGACAAAAAGGAGAAGGTAAAAAGCGCATTTGAGGAAAATATGTAACAGATTTAAGCTTGGAAAAAATCACACCTGATGCGATCCAAGCCACAATTATTTATGTTAATTTAATTTGTGGATGATGACTAGCAGTGGAATTCAGGATGCACGTTTCGTCCTATTTGGTACTCGTCAACTGGATGTACCTGCATTTCCCAGTGAGTGATGATGTTTCCACCGAGGCTCGAACAGAGTGACCATAGTGTCAAACACCAAAGCGTTATCCACTAGACCATTTGGGACATGGGAGCAGGTAAATACAGTGACGAGTCCCGAATAAGACGGAATGCGCATCCTGGATTCCACTGCTAGTCACCACCCACAAATTAAGTTCTAATTCAATGCCCAGAAATCGTCGAAGCATCTGCTCAAGAAGCGGACATGTCAACCTGAGACCGGGCACTTCGGTCCAATCAATCGACGGGAATATCTCAAATTCGATTAAATTATTTATGTCGTTAAAAACGAAACCCCTGATTCCAGTGTTTTATTCAAGTGTTAGTTTGCAGGGATTCGAGTGGTTTCATGATTTTATCATGAACTGACATCGGTTAGAGGACCACTAGAAAACCATCAGGAAGTACTTGCCAGTTGTTTTGTCCTAATTCGGGACTAATCATCAGTACGCACCCACTGGGGTTCAAACGAGCTTGCCTTGTAACCTGAAGGTTCTGGGTTTGAACCTCAGCGGGTGTGTACTGGTGAAGAGTCCCAAACTAGGACAAAACAGCTGTCCACTTTTCTAGTGGTTCAGTAACCGATGTCACTTCATGATGAAATCCTGAATTTAATGTTTTAATTAAAAATATGAATCAAGGAAAATAGGTTTATTATATAAATACGGTACATGCATGTCTTACATAATTCACTCCACAACAATATTCTTAATGAAATCTGTTACAGCAAAAACAAAAAAATTGTAATTAGTGTGCATGTGCCTATACTAATTAACAATTTACCTGTCCTATGCAACTGTATCAAAATGAATGTAAGGTGAATTGAATATTGAACTATTAACTTGGAATGCGAAAATTTTAGTTTGAAGGAAATTGTGGGATTGAACTTATTCTTTGTGCTATTCCGATTTACCTGCAAATAACACTGAAATCAGTCTCACAATTAAATGACAAGAGAACTTCAGAATTAATCATCATCTTCATCATCAGCTGAATCAGAATGACTGCCTTTCATAAATATTTCATATATTTCTATTTACCAAAAGAAAACATTCAAACATTGATGAGGATGCTATTAGGCGTGAACAAAGCACATTTTGAATTTTAAATGTTTTTCAAAGATTGACTGGTGCAGAGAATAGAATGAATTTTGGTTAATAAGGTAACTTTCATAATACTAAGGAGGAACCTTAATTTAAAATGCCTTTTCTTAGTATGTGTACGTTCATTTTTATTATGTCACTGCTTCTTATAGCATCGTCGCTGTGGTCTAGTGGTTAGGATATTGTGTTGTGGCCGCACTAACCCAGGTTCGAATCCTGTTCGCGTCGGTAGCACAGTGATAGAATACTCGACAAATACGCAAGTAGTTCGGGGTTCGATCCCCAACCGACACAGTCGTTTACCTCGCTAAGCTGGTAAGAAGACTGGTGAAGAGGGAATGTTGGGCTTGAGGTTAGCGACCCCATCCTGTAAAAATAAATGCCACTGCTACCGAAACTCCAAAGCTCTAGCTTGAAGCCCTATGGTCCACATGGAACGTAGAAGAATAAAATGTAAAAATCTTGTAGCAATCGAATTACAACAGATAACTCTACTTTACACCCAGGATGCAGTTTAAAAGGAAACCAGTGGCAGTGAACAACTTTAAAAGACGGAACTGGGGATTCATAATAGGCACCTAGCAGTAAATAAACCATCTGTAAGAGAGTTGATTACGTTGATGTTAAATTAAATCAAGTTGTGTCAGTGAATGGCTTTCAAAAGTGTTAATCAACCAAAGGTTCCTTAGATTGTAGTGTATTTGAAATAGTGTCGAAGGTTATCAGAGTCAAAAATAAAATATTGCTTGTTAATCAAAGTGGATCGCCACTTTTGATCAAGGCATCTAAGAAATAGAATAAAATACTTAAATTATGATAGATAACTCGGATATTTTAATAAACTAAAATATAAATGGAACGATAAAAGACCACACTTATTTGTAATATGAATTAGTTTCAGTTCAATGTAACAGCATACACACTGTTTCCACCAGAGTTAATCTAAGAAATGCCACATGGATTTTTTCGGGTAATCCGAAAATAGTTTCAAGTTAGAGTGAAAGTGGGAATTATTTTGACCAAAGGGTTAATAACTGAGAAGATAAATTTATGTCAAAAATGGCCTGTATATGACTCGTCTGGAAGTTATATTTCCCTTAATATTTTTCCGACACGTGACTAAAACAGTAAAAATAAACGTAGAGTGGCCAGTACTTCTTAAAGGTTGCCATAATAAACAGCCGATCACAAAATTATTATTCACTACTGAACAAGAACAACTTCACATCAGCATAGCCCAGCACTGACCATCGTTGATTCCCCCCTTGAAGGGAATAAAATCAGAATTATTCAACATTAAAATATCGTGATTAACTCCACTGTGTCTCTGTACATATTTTTATTGAATGAATAAATCTTCTGTGTGATAATTTATGCCAAAAATGAAGTGAAACAATAAAACCACAAGAATTATAAACTAAACAACACGACGTTTTACACTGAATTTGCTTATCTTTGCAAAAGAATTTATCTGATAAAAGTCGTAAAAGCAGTTAATATTTATCATCATATTTTTACTTGCATATATATGTTTATAAGTGACTCGGTTCTAGTGTGCGCAGAAACAGTGCACAATATTCACCTTGGTAGTGATTTTAGCTGTTTATCTACTTTTTTTTTACTAGTCCCTTTCTTAGAAGATTATTATTGTTATTGTGTACAGTTTATACAGTATACATATATTTGTATTGTATATCTTATGAGAATAATTATATTTTACCTCTTGATGATTCACTCATTTTTAAAATGTTACTGCTT